GGGATAAAGAGACTAGACATCTCACTGGATCAAAGAACAGGCACAATGAGGTGAGACCGCCAAGGAGATGGCACAGAGGAAGGTCCTAGGAAGGGGAGGCAAGCGTGCCCAGAACACAAGGCTGCGCTCTGGGCCAGCACCCTGATGCCCTGCAGCCCGTTCCCACCGAGCCCACGAGTGTTGTTTCAGGATGAACTGAAGTAGATAAATTCTAATCTGACTGAAGCTGGACAGACACAGATACGAACTCAGAGGGGCCTAATGCTTTCCCTATCCCTCGGGGCCATGTGCGTGTCATCAGGACAGTGGAGACAAGTTTCCAAGGTTGTGTTGTTGCTTCTGAAAGCTCTGGAGGGAAGGAAGATGCTTGGTGAAGGAGGAAGGAAGGATACTGCAAGAAAAGCATTCCTTCCATTGGGTCCTTTGAAAGAACTCACCTCTGCATTCATCTTGGTCTCTTTGTGCAGAAGCTGTGAAGACAAAAGCAGAGGTTCAGAACATGGGTGGCATCCACCCCAAATTCCATGCAGACACCTCCCCTTTGCCATCCCACCCTCTCTGTCACCCCACTTCCTGTCCCATGGGCCCCATCCGCCCCAAATGCCTTCACCACCTTGTGCCCTCCTGGGAGGGTACCCAGGCCGGTGTCTCATCTGAGCCAGGCGGCAGCTGGCTCCCCTGGGATGTCTCACCAGTCATGCTTCCCTCAAAGGCCACTGTGAACCCCCAAGGTCCACCTCCTGTATCAAAGAGTAGCTGTAAACGTGATGCTTCTGTGTATTTGAAATAACGATGCACTGTCCAAAATTGGTGCGCGGAGAGGATAGCTTTGTATCTGCCCTTATTTTATGGGGACAATCAAGGCAGTAGGAAACATATACTTCTTTTTTTCCCTCCTAGCTGAGTTTCCAAAGGACTTAAACATATTATGTTAAGAGAACAGTTCAACAGGCTACTCTGAACCCTGAACACTAAGGAGGAGGAAGGAGGGAGCAGACAGGCATGAACCACAGGAATGAGGAAAGAAAAAGGGGAGATGAGAGGAAACAGGAGAGAGAAGGAACAGAAATAAATAAGGAACCAGTGCAGAGTAACAGCAGTTCCAAATTTTCACCGCCTCCCAGGACTGCCTGTTGAAGATGTGCGTCTCTGAGTTCCACCCCCAGAGTTCCTACCCTGTAGGAAGGGAGGTTAAGAATCTAAAAATAAAAATAAAATTTAAAAAAAGGACACTGAACTCATCTACAAAACAGAAACAGACTCACAGACATAGTAAACAATCTGATGGTTACTGGGGGCAAGGGGGTGGGAAGGGATAAATCTGAAATTTTGAGATTTGTAACCACTATGTATAAAAACAGATAAATAAATTTCATCCATATGGCACAAGGAACTATATTCAATATCTTGTAATACCCTTTAATGAAAAAGAACATGAAAATGAATATACGTATATATATCATGACTGGGACACTGTGCTGCACACCAGAAATTGACATACTGTAACTGACTATATACTTCAATACAAAAAAAAAAAAAAGAATGTGCATTTTCAACAGGCATCCAGGAAGAGGGCACTCAGATGGTCGGAGAGCCACTCACGGAGAATCACCAGGATTGACAGTAAAACAAAGGGGTCCCAAAGAACTAGATTCCTCATTTTTCAAAACATTAGAACTGCGTCTTTATTAACCTAGGATGGTGAGTGGATGACAGAGGCGACAGCAAAGGCCTACGGAGGACTTTCCAGCCCTTCCACCTGGTTGGGGGTGGGGGGCAGGCAGGCTCCAGGAAGCCAATGCAAAGGATGCTCCTGAGTTGCTGAGCAGGGAAGGAGGGCCCTCCAGGACCTCTGGGAACGGAAGGCTGAGGCAGCCTCTGTCCTTGGACCCTGTCCTGCATTTGATCTTGTTCTCTCGCAAAATATAAGAAGGGTTAGGCCACTGGGAAGAGCAACTGTGAAATAATAACACCCGTTTTTAAAAACCTTGGCCATCCTAAGAACTCCTGCGATGATCGTGGGGGCTTGCATTGAAAATAACTCATTTTCAGTAACTCCCTCCCTCCTCTCTTGCCCGTTCCTCCTTCCTCCTTTGACAGTGGGGTCTCGTGACCCAGCCTGGCCACGTGCTGCCTTTCCTTTTGCCATTTGGAGCCCTTTCCTCTTTCCTGGGAAATCTGAAAGGGGGAACTTTCTGGAAGACAAACCCTCAGAAGCAGAGAGGGAGTGACAAAGAGGGGGAGCTTTCTTCTCAGATCCGCGGGAGTCAGCACAGGCGTGATGTCTTCTCGAGAATGAAGGCTGACCAAGACACTGACAGCAAAGCCAGAAAGGGCCAGGGCGAAGTCAAGGACCAAGTTTGGACCGCAGGGGCTCCCAGGAGAGCCTGCCCTGCTGCCTCCCCGCAGTGATGCCTGCCCCAGCACCACTGACCTTTGCTTATAATCTGAAGGATGTTAGTTCATCTCTGTTGGAGCTTCCATGTGAGTGGAGAAGTCACATAACAAAACAGGAGGAAGAGGATGACAGTTGTGAGAGCCCGCTTGTGTCAGCTACTTTATCTGCACCAACCCTCATCCTTGCAGCCTTGGCAAAAAGGCTAATATTAATTCCATTTTGCAGATCAGGTACCTGGAGTTCAGGGTGGGTTCCAGCAGTGGGCCTCACAGTCACGGTGTTGTGGCCTTGCCCTGTAATTTCCAGCTTTCTGGTTCTAGAGTCAAGCTCAGACTGCCACAGAGACTTTTACAGCACCGTCTGACACTCACCCAGAGAGCTTTTATGAGAAATACGAGACCTGGGGTTTGGTCTGGCTTCAGGAATGGACTAGCCAAGTGACCATGGCCAAACAGGTTTCCTATCTATAGGCTGAATGGTTGGACTCCATCTCAAAGGTCCGTTCTGGCCTCTAAGATGCTCTCTGATTCCCAGAAAAGGAAAATCCGGTGACTCTTAAAACAGTGCTCAACCTCGGTCATGAAATTACCTCATCAAGAGGCTCTATCAAACTGGCAGAGATCAAAATGTTTGCCACAGCGTGATGGTCAAAGTGTGGAGGAAAATACTCTCTGACTTTATTAAGGAACTAACCATAGGCAGGCACCATCTCTACAGAAGGCAGTCTAGCAACGTCTAGTAAAACTCCAAACCGCGCAGCAACCTCTGACCTACTGATCCTGCTGTTTCCCATCTATGTTTCCAGTCCCCAGACCTCATTCAGGAGAAATCATTAAGTTGCCCCGAGTCCTTTGTCCCCACAGAAGTATTACTACAGCTTCCCTGTCTAATGAGGACTTCCAGAAATGCTTTCCGATAAAACCCGTCTATGTGACATCACTTAGGAACTTTACTGCTTTCCCACAGAATCTGGGGAAAGCAAAACAAAACAAAAGCAATCTGCAGAGATGTGCATGCATGAGAAAGGACTTCACCTAGAAATCCTACCACCGTGGGCATCGGCAATCTACTACCGAGGATGAATTGCATTGTCACTTACAAAGCACGTTCAGCGGGGGTATCCTGGCCAGATCCTCTCCACATTCCTCCGTCTCCAGCTTTTAACTCCCATCATAATAAGACAGCACTGTTGGGAGAGGCAGCAAACCCCATCTCTCAACACCCTCCGTGCCCACACACATCTTTCCCTTCCTCTCCACTGTCCGGCCAAAACCAAACTCAGAGAATACTTTATTCTACATTTTAATATGTTCTAAAAGATCTAAGACCTAACCCTCTAACAAGATTTCACTTTGTCTTTTTATTTCAAGGGTTTAATATTTTAATGGTCAAACACGAAAAAGGCTTTAAAGTTTTGGACCTTTAGCATTATGTTTGGGAAGAAAGACCAACAGACACATTTTTATTTTCTTTTTAGGTTGTTAACTTTTTTCCCTGTATTTACGTATTTATTTTAATCAGTCTAAACTGTATTTTGGTACATGGCATGAGCTAATGTAATTGTCCCAAATAGTTGAGTTGTTCCTATATCATATGAATATTTTATCCTTTCTCCCAATGACTTGTACTTAAATTCTTGTGAATATGGTTATTCCTTCTTTTTTTTTTTTTTACTGTCTCTGCTGTACCACTGACCTCAGTCCCCATGCCTATAGTAAGTACATTATTTACATTTCTGTAGCTTTACAATATGTCTTGATGTCTGGTCGTTTAAGTTCTTGCATTAACTTGTTCAGTATTCTTCTGTATTCTTGCTTGCTTAGACTCCTAGATTAATCTTAGAACAGCTCTGTCAAGTTAAAAAAAAAAAAGCCACTGGGACTGTGCCTAGATTTGCATCAAATTTATAAATTAAATTAGGGTTAATCATTCAGCCTTCCCACCCAGAAATATATGGTATGCCTCCAAAAAACAAACCAAAAAACCAACAACAACAAGAAAAAAAAAAACAGAAGAAGAATCTTGAGTTAGTTCCTGAATTGCTGTGTAATTACAAAGGTCAGCTCTGGCTGTAGTGGTTCAACTAGAAAGTTAAAGGAGAAAAAGTTAACCCTTTGGCATAAATAACCTGCCGGAAGCATTTTCAAGTAGGTTTCTCCTTCCCCCAGAACTAAGGCAGCAGGTTTACTAAACTGCTTCGGAGTCCGAGCATGCAGACGATCTCTGGGAAATAAAAAGCCTGCCTGTGACTCAAGAGACCACAGTTCTAGAGCTGGCCTGGGTGCCCACTAGCTGTGTGATCCAGGCGGGAGCGCATGGTCTCTGGGCGCTTTGGTTCCTGCTTCTGTAAAAATGAGGTGGGGGAGGGCAGATGAGCTAGATCAATGGAAGAAAGATCAGTGAACTCGGAAGACAGAGCACTGGAATTAAAGTCAGAGCAGCGAAAAGAAAAAAAAATTTTTTAAAGTAAAGATAGCTGAAGGGATTTATGGGACAAGAACAAGTGGACGAAGATATGCATTATAAGGGTCTCAGAAGGAGAAAACAGAGAAAGAAATGGGCAGAAAGTTAATTCAAAGAATTAATTGCTGGAAATTTCCTTAACTTGGGGAAAGAAGCAAACGTCCAGATCCATGGGGCCCCCCAAAAGACTAAAGAAGATAAATCCAAAGAGATCCACACCAAGACACAGCATAATTACACTGTCAAAAGGTAAAGACAAGAAGAGATTCTTAAAAGCACTAAGCTAAAATCAGCATGTTCTATACAAGGGAACGCCCATAAGATTATCAGCATCTTTCTCAGCAGAAACTTCGCAGGCCAGAATGGAATGGAATGTAAACTGAAGGAAAAAAAAAAAAAAAAAAAAGAAAAGCCAAGCAAGGCTACTCTACCTGGCAAAGTTGCTCTTCAGGATTGAAGGAAAGATTTAAGCATTTTCCAAACAAACAATAGCTAAATTGGGGGGTGGAGGGGTGGCTCAGTGGTAGAGTGTTCAGAGTGTGTGTCCTGCCCAGTACCTCCATTAAAATAAATAAGTAAATAAATAAACACTTAATTACATCCCCCCCC